CTTGATGCGTTTCGCAATGTCGCTAGCTTATATAGCGCCTGCAGAAACAGCTTGAGACACCATCCACTCAGTACAAGCCCCAAAAGGAACATACCTTCTTGTCATCTAGTGCAGGAACTTCAATAACAGCAGGACTGCAACGAGAGGGGGGAAGCACGACGGGGGTAGTGAAGGACTAAAATTTAGAAATCAGAACGGCTATTGCAAGTGAATTGTGGTAACATACAGGAACATGGACGTTGCCAAAAAGGCCTGATGGCACTTGACGTGGGGCTGGAAGGATGGCTGGACGTCGCGTAGCATTAGCCTGGAATGTCGATGTCATGATGGATAACAGGAGACACAACGTACACCTGATAACGACTTGTGCGAGTGGAACATTAACATTAGCGTGCTTCATTCTTAAAAAGTTACAAGATGATGCACGGCACACCTTTTTGAGTTCGGATTTTTGAGTCTAACAGCCATTTGAAATGAAATGGCAGTGGGAGTCAAGTTAGTACTCACATCAGGTGTAGACAGAAGGTCGTCTAGGCCAGCCGCTTTGAGGATGGTGTGAACGTCTCATACGTACGCGTTTTCATCATGACAATCTGTGGATAGCAGCTTTCCATCAGTGAAAAAGGCTGCACGTGCGACGTGATCTTCGTGTTGGAGGTGTGTGTCAAGATTCCAGAGAAATCTGTTCAACAGCTGCCATGTGGCGGTGTCGAATATCCATTCCCGAACCGTGTTACGCTCCAACAGATTGAATTTAATTTTGATTTTGAAGAGTCAATTCCATCGAATTCCATGTACCCTCCTGTCGCGATCATTAATATTGTTGCCTTTGGTGAGTAGCTCACAGCGAGCATGTGTTCGTGTCCCGTCTTGATTATATTCAGATCTTCGACGGGTTCGCCATTCTTCACATTCCACACTCTTGCCGTCCCATCAAAGAATCCACTCACCATCTGCACTCCAGCATACTGAGTTTACCGATTCAGCGCGCCCTTTCCATTTGGCGATAACCTTTCCCGTCTCAACGTCCCACAATCTTACTGTTCCTTCCTGACTTCCACTGGCAACAATCTTACCATTCGGAGACAATGTCATGGTTTTCACGACTGCATCATCCCCTTCATCTCGCCACTCATCACCTATCCGCATACCGCTGTCTAGGTCCCATATTCAAAGTGAGCCGTCTGTCGAACATGTGATGACGGCAGGTGCGCAATGCCTTCTACTCGTCCGATATGGCCTCGCATCGTCTTGCGGGGCGCTACTACTGATGTCTTTTTCGTCTTAGCAGTGACAGAATACATGGCTGGCGCTCGGGAATTTTAATCAAGGAGATGAATATATGCGCGAGAATAGCTCGCTTGGTCTTTGGATCAGAATGGGTTGTCTTGTGGTAGTGCGTATTTACGGACCTATTTGTTTTCAACTGAACGCGTGTCAATAGATGTACATGTGGTATTACTTACGAAAACTATCAAGATGCTTGGGGACGATGTATGCCGGACGAATTTGCTTTACTGCTGGTCCTTGAAAACTTGCGTTTCCACGAAGATTCTTGACACCGCCCAGTAAGCGACAAAGTTCCTTTTCCGCTCAGCATGTTGCTCACAGTGAGCCTCACTTAGAGCAACAAGACACAGATTCGCTCTACATAAGAACGAGAGGCACAGGTTGGTGGCTGAGATAGTGGTCCAACGTTTTTTTGGAGTCAAGAGAGTTGCACCAACGGTTTATTGCGTTATCCTTACGTTGTTCGCAGCTCGTTGATGAATCGCCGTATGTAGCCCGCCAGTACGCCACGTGTCTTCTGCCTCTATTTGAACCTTGGGCGCTTGAACTGAGCCGTCTCTGCTCTTCTTCATAGTACGGAGCCTTCCTTCTCCAAGAACACGCTTCTCTGTGTACGATATAGAAGATTGGTAGTATACCCCGCATTAATGGTGAGTGGATGCATTTTGTAGACTCACGAACTAAGCTGTTGCTTGAAGTCGGTCCAAGTGTATACAAATTGCGGGTTATCATTACCTTGCAGAGGCCGTTGCCAGAAAGTAGGTAAGCCTATATATTGTCATCATGATGCCACATCAACTCTTATCCATAGAAGTACATCAAGCGTTTTTCAATCCTGACATTATTCGAGACAAATGCTCACTTCTACGTTCGTCCGAATGCTACAGGCGACCGCTATGACGACCCGAGACGTTGGTTTATTCCATCTTTTTTCTCACCTTGGCTTGTCTGGCAAGCATTACTCGTGGCACTAGCAAACTCTACCAAAGAACGAGAAGGGCCGTTGAATACCTCAGGCGGCGGTCACATATCAAAGCCTCCGGGGTTGTTGCAGCTGATAGCGCAACGAAGAGTATCAGGGTCTTCGGGTAAGCAATAGTCGCTAACTGCGTCTCTTATTTCTGCTTGCCTGGTGCTCCGTGCTCATTCCATGCTTCCCAACGCTTAATAGCTCTTTCTTATCTCATGTGGGCGTCCAGTCCAGATTGAATTCGCTCCTGCCCTTGGCGAGAATGAACAAAGTTAATTCGTTGGCATGTTCCTCCAGAATTACCCGTATCTACTCCTTTCTGCTGACCATTGTCATTTCACGCGATGAACAGCGATAGATGGCTCTTTAGATGCAGTGTGGATCAACAAGGCATTGTTCTTCGTGTGCTGCGGCCTATTGTACCACAGTACCGCCGTAGGTGTATCTTGGCCCAGTTTAGCATACAGCTGGCAGCGAAGGGGAAGGTCTGTTTGGGAGCGCAATTCTACTTGACTCTTACGTTCGATCTTCGTGGATAGGTGGTTTGTGTAAGGAAACCTGATCAATTGACGTATTGATATAACGGTCAGAACACGACAGTGAACAAAGCCACTGGCACATACTAGTTCATACAGAATATATCTTGTTGATGGTCTTGCCACGACCGGGCTGAAATGGATGACGATGTGGTATGTACGATGTCCATTAACGCCCCGAAGTGCAAAACGTCGTGGGCATTCCAAGGAGAATACTTCACTTAATTCTGACTAGGCTGGAAAGGAGCGGACCCTATGTTGAAAAGAAGTTGAATTTATAGGAAGGTGCCAAGGTTGAACGAACGGGTAAGTAGTTTATCTCTCATTCTTCAAAAAAGCATCCATGTATAATTCAGTCTACTCTCGAGAATTTGGGCATACGTTAAGCACGTGAATAAAATGTACTTCATAGATTCGGCTAAGGCCAGTTGAGATGAGCCTCTAAGGAAACCATCGAGGAGTGAATGTCAAGGTGTGTTCCGATGGAAAAAAACCTCGTTGTCGTCAGGTTTCGAACCTGCACAGTTCGAGAGAAACAGGTTTTGATTCTGTTGTGGCAACCACCTGACTAAGACCAGTTAAGATGAACTTCTACGAAACCATTCATGAGCGAGGGTCAAGGTGTGTTCCGATAGAAAAAAAACCTTGTCGTCAGCGGGTTTCGAACCTGCGCAGCCCAAGAGAAACAGATTTCGACTCTGTTAAGCAGCTCGCTAAGATGGCTCTCCAAGGAAACCATCCATGAAGAATCTTCAAGGCGATACTCGTCGGCAGGTTTTGAACCCGCACAGGCCAAGAGAAACAGATTAATAACCAGTAGGTAGATCTTCACCATCTGTAGTTAGAGCGGATTCGGGTGTCACATGAACCTCCATAGCATGAATGAATGTCAGGGCGTGTTCCAACAGAAAAAAGATCATGTCATGCAAGTTGCGAACGTGTCTATGAGTGAATGTTACGGTGTATTGCCAATAGAAAAAACCTCGCTGTCGGCAGGTTTCGAACCTGCCTGCACGATCCAAGAGAAACAGATTTAGATTCTGTTGTGGTAACCACCAGGTCGAGACCGGTTAAGATAAACCTCGAAGGAAACCATCGATGAGTGAATGTCAAGACGTGTCATAGAAGAAAAATAAACTTTGTGATCGGCAGATTTCGAACCCGCGCAGTCCAAGAGAAACAGATTTTAATTCTGTTATGGGAACCAACTGGCTAGGACCAGTTATGGTGACCTTCAAAAGACATCATCCATGAATGAATGTCAAGGTGTATTCCAATAGAAAAAAACCTCGTTGTGAGCAGGTTTCCAATCTGCGCATTCCAGGGGAAACAGATTTTGATTCTGTAACCACTTCGCTAAGACCGGTTCAAATGCACTTCTGAGGAAACCATTTAAGACTGAATGTCAAGGTGTATTTCGATAGAAAAAGACCTCATTGTCGGCAGGTTTCGAACCTGTATAGTGCGATAGAAACAGATTTCGATTCTGTGGTGGCAACCACTAGGTTGTGACGGGATATGGTCAACGTCTAAGGAAGCTATCCATGAGTGAATCTCAATGTGTGTCCATAAAAAGCTTGCGAGCAGCAGGTTTCGAGCCTACCCAGTCTAAGAAACAGATTTCGATTCCGTTGTAGTAACCACTTGGCTGAGATCAGTTAAGATGAATCTCTAAGGAAACCATCTATGAGTGAATGTCAAGGTGTGTTCCGGTAGAAAAAACCTCGTTGTCAGCCCCCCGCGAACAGGGCTATGTCCTACATAGGGTCTTCAACCCCGAAGAACAATAAAATTGATTTTTTTTAAAATAAAAAAAACTCACTGTCGGCAAGTTTCGAACCTACGGGAAACCATCCATGAGTGAATATCAAGGTGTACTGCAATAGAAAAAAACTTTTTTATCGGCAGGTTTCGAACCTGCGGAGTCTAAGAGCAACAGATTTTCATTCTGTTGTGGCAACCGCCAGGTCATCTTAGAGCAGTTAAGATAAAATACTGAGGAAAACATCCATGAGTGAATGTTAAGGCGTGTCCTGATAGGAAAAGCAAACATTGTGATCGCCAGATTTCGCACATGCTCAGTTGCTCAGTCCAAGAGGAACAGATTTTGATTCTGTCGCCTGGCTGATACCAGTCGAGATGCACTTCTGAGGAAATCATCCATGACTGAATATCAAGGAATATTCCGATAGAAAAACAAACCTTGTGATCGGCAGGTTTCGAACCTGCACAGCTCAAGAGAAACAGATTTTGATTCTGTTGCGGCAACCACCTGGCCACCACCAGTTACGGTGAACATCTAAGAAGCCACCCATGAGCAGATGTCAAGGTGTATTCCAATAAAAAAAACCTTGTTGGCAAGTTTCGAACCTGCATAGTCTAAGAGCAGCAGATTTTGAGTCCGTTGTGGCAACCGCCAGGTTAAGACAGGTTAATATAAACTTCTAAGGAAACCATCCATGAGTGAATGTCAAGGCATGTTCGGATAAAAAAAAAGAAACTTTGTAATCGGTCAGGTTTCCAACTTGCACAGTCCAAGATAAACAGATTTTGATTCCGTTGCAGCAACCACCTGAGTTACGATGAACCCCTTGAGAAGCCATTCATGAGTGAATGGCAAGGTGCGTTCCGATAGAAAAAAGCCTCGTCGTCAATCTAGGGGAAACAGATTTGGACTCTGTAACCACTTTGCTAAGACCACTGAAGATGAATTTCCGAGGGACTTCTATGAGTGATTCTTCAAGGTGCCCTCGGCAGGTTCGACGGACTTTGATTCTGTTGTGGTGAGCAGCCCGCTAAGACTGGTTAAGATGAATCCATAAATCCATGAACGAGTGTCAAGGGTGTGTTCTGACAAAAAAAAATACGTCGTTGACAGGTTTCGAACCTGCTCAGTCCAAGGGACACAGATTTTCAGTCTGTTGGAGCAACCACCTGGCTACAAACTGGTTGAACGTGTAAATGGGTTGTCTAGCAGTCTTGGAAATCAAGAATCTTGGCCAAAAGTCAGTTCAAAGTCTGGATGCCAGCGTCCAGCGTACTCCTCAGGAACCAACTGCACAAATTTGACAGACAAGTTAAAGTCCGAGAGGTCAATGGATGTTATTGATGTATAGTAAAAACATATTAGAACGAGATTAAAAAAATAGTGGAACTAGACACTAGAACGAAGATAGTTTATGGTGTGCTACACCCATTAATGACTGTTGTCGGTGGATGGAGATACACAGCAGAGGAAAAGCACAACACGAACCCACCATTTGGGATTCTTGATTCGTTTTGCCTTGTCGCTAGCTCGTTCCGGTCGCCGAGCAGTATATAGTGCCTGTAATAAAAGCTTGAGACACCAGCCATTGAGAAAACATTCCAAAAAAGACGTACCTTCTTGTCATCTAGTGCAGGAACTTTGACAACGGGAAGATTGCGGTGAGAGGATGTACTAGGTCCTGGGCATTGCTTTAGTTCAATTGGTTCACTATTGTTAGGTTGGGAACGGTGGAAGAGTCGAGGAAGGCGAGCAAGGAGTGCACGTGGATGCGATTCCCAAGATAATGCAAAAGCACGGGGGCGATGATGTAGAGAGGGATCAGGATGGAAATGACTGGTAGCGGAAGACTGAAAATATAGAAATTAGAACAAGTACAGCAGGTGAACGGTGGTAACGCACAGGATCATTGTCTCGCACGTTAGTGAAAAAGCCTAGTGGCACTTGACGTGGGGCTGGACGGATGGCTGGACGTCGCGAAGCATTAGCCTGGAATGTCGATATCACAATCAGTATCAAGGTCAGAAAAAGACACAACGTACACCTGACAACGACTTGTGCGAGCAAAACATGAGCGTGCTTCATTGCTCAAAATTTACAAGATGATGCACACCTTTTTCAGTTCAGATTTTTGTACCTAACAGCCATTGGAAATGAGATGACAAGTGGGAATCAAGTTGGCACTCACATCAGGTATGAACAGAAGGTCTTCTAGACCAGCTGTTTTGAGGATGGCTTGAATGTCCCACACATATGCGTTCTCATCAGCACAACCTGTGGATAACAGCTTTCCATCAGCGGAAAAGGCCGCACACTCGACCTGGTTTTCGTGTTGGAGAAGTGGTCCAACTTGGAGGTATGTGTCAAGATTCCAGAGACGTGCTGTTCCGTCCCATGATGTACTCGCAAGTAGGTGGTCGTTCCGAAACAAAGTGATGGAGTAGACAGCATTTTCGTGACCCTCCAGCAGGGCGATCTGCTGCCATGTGGCAGTGTCGAATATCCTAATCGAGCCATTCCCGAAGCCAGAGATAAGCTTCTTTTCGTCCGATGTCCAGGATAAGCTCCAAACCGACCAATCGAGTTTGAATTTGATTGAGGAAAGCAGCTTGCTCGTCTTTGTATCCCATATTTTGATTTCACTCGCATTGTATCCTCCTGTCGCAATCATTGTTGCCTTGGGTGAGTAACGCACCGCGTACACCCACATGTGTCCGGTCTCTATTGGATTCAAACCCTGAATGGGTTCGCCGCTCTTCACATCCCACACTCTTGCCATCCCATCATATGATCCACTCACAACTTGTCCATCATTTAGTGGACTCCAGCACACCGAGTCCACTATTTCAGAGTGCCCTTCCCATTTGGCAATCACCTTCCCAGTGTCGATGACCCACAACCTCACTGTCCCATCCTGACTTCCGCTGACAACAGTCTTGCCATCTGGAGACAATGCCATTGTCCTTACTCCTGCCTCATCCCCTTCATCTCGCCACTCGTCACCTATCTGTGCACCGCTCTCTAGGTCCCATAGTCGAAGTGAGCTATCATATGAAGATGTAATAATGCACTGCCCGCCGGGCAGGTGCACAATGCCAGATACACGCTTTGTATGACCCCGCATCGTCCTATGTGAACTTACTGTTGACATCTTTTTCATCTCGGCAACAGGAGATGACATGATATGTACTCGGGGACCTCAATCAGGGAGATCGTGGACTAGTATGTGTGCGAGACTCGGTGGTTTCGAACGAATGAGTTGTCTTGGGGGGTTATGTTGTGGGTGAATTTACGGGCCTATCTGCTTCAACTTGAGTCCATGTTGATAGAAGTGCCTGGAGGAATTGCTCACGAGATGTTCTATCCAGGCAGATTCAACTCTGACTCACAGGACAGCTTCGGGACGATATATGCGATATCCCTCAAGACCAGTCAGTGATTGGCCCTATCGTTTCCTCACTTCAAATTTTCCAACGTAAAATAATTAGTGTATCACTCACGTGAACCCCACTTGGAACAATCTAACACTCACTCCAAGAATGAGAGGCGTGTGCTGGTAGCTAAGTTGGATCGAGAGGATCGCGCTGGTGTTGGGTTAAGTTACCTACTAACGTACTTTCTTTTTTCTTCTCGTTATCCTCGTGTTCTCTCCACAGCTTCATAGTGCTGTGCAGATGAAGCGCCACGTGCGTCTCCTTATCTTTATTTGACCCTTGATGGTCCGATGCATCTCCATGTTTCTACCAGTCTGTCCATCGGTCTCTTCTCTGATGAACAAGGCGACAAGAAAGTAAATCCACAAGTTTGTTTGAGTTCACAACCACTACCAAGAATACGAAGCTGGGTCACCCCGGTTGTTGCAAGAGATGATAACCATAGTAGATTTTGGGACATGCGACAATAAATATACATGCCAATAAACTTAGTCATGGTACAAGAATGACTTTTTGCAATCCCTATTGAACAAATACATAGCACTGCGTACTATGTTAAGGCAAGTTAAGCTACATGCAAGTTAACTTCAGGAATCCTGTCGAAATATGGGGGCGAGAAGAACAAAAATACACAATGTTCAACAGATATTATTGGCGGAGCAGTCGGAAAGCTATCTACGAGATAAAAGAGCCAGAATACTGTGACAGAGCTAGCGGTCTATGCGTTACAACGAGTGTCGTCAGTACTAGGGCTCTCAGCGGCACCGGGAACCATATAGCAGACAAACAACACCATGTGAACCTGTGGTTTTGGATTCTTGTGTTTTGCCTTCACTAGCTGTATTCCGTCGGCGAGAAACACCCAATGCCTGCGCAGAAATAATCAGACCCAAGGGTTAACATATTCACATACAAGGAATACATACCTGCTTGTCTCGTTGTACAGCGACTTCGACAACACCAGGGCTACAATTAGAGGAGATAGTTTGCCTTAGTCATCGCTAAAATTCGGTTACTTCATCGGCATTCAGTGGAGAGCGAGACAGCCGACTGACGAGTGCACCTGGATGTGACCCCGAGGACGTTTGAGATTGCTTCATTGGCGTGGAGTCGAGAGTGGTGAAAGACCAAGGAGTACCTGTGGATGTAATCGCGAACGTACTGGGTACTGGGGGTCGCGGAAGTTCGGATATTTCTCCAGCATTCGGCGAATACCCCCCACGAGTGTAAGGCGACATCATATAGAATGACCTAATTCCGACTGGGCTGAAAACAAACGAACCTCGTATTGGAAATAAAATCATGATACAATACTAAGTTCGAGCGGACAAGTGGATAATATCTGGTGTTCTTCGGAGATGCATCCACGCATAACTCAGTGTAGCGCTCGAGAATATGAATAAGATGCCCAGTACGTAGCGCTATTTCTTGACGCATGCGAGATGTCAACAGATGTTATTGACGAGATATTGAAAGACACTACAACTAGACAAAGTAACAAGAATATGATAGAAGATTATTGCTCATGTATTACTCACTATGACCATCGACAGACGCGCAAAGGAGGAATAGTACAAAACGATTCCACCATGTAGGGTTCTTGATGTGCTTCGCATTGTCACTGGTCCGTTCTGGTAGCTGGGCGGTGTGCAACACCTGCACAGAAATCTTTAGACACCGGCCATGGGAAATCCGCTGTAAAAAAGGCATACCTGGTCGTCTTGTTGCACAGCAACTTCGACAACACGAGGACTGCGACTAGAGAAGGTACTGGGCTCTCGTTGCTGGAGTTCTATTGGTTCATCGACGTCGGGCAGTGAAGGGTGGAAGAGTGGAAAGACTTGGAGTGTACGCGTACGCGACTCCCGGAAGGACGCAAAAGCACTGCGGCGGCGATTTACAAAGGGATGAGGATGAAGACTACTGCTAGCGGAGAACTGGGCATATAAGTTAGTAAATGAATCAGTAATTTTGGATAGTGGCGACATACAGGATCACAGTCTTGCAAGTCATCGAGCAAGCCTGGTAACTGAAAGGGGGCTGAATGTCGCCTAGCAGTGGGCTAGAACATCGATGTCACAACCAAT